TATATATATATATATTTAATTATATATATATTTAATTGTTCAATTCTCAGAAGGCTATGATCATTGTGACCAACAATCAGTGAATGATTAGTTTCTGTTTTCTGTCATAGGAAATATATATAAAATAGAGGGCATCGAGAAAATATGATTGCCGATCAGAATGATTTGATTGGCAAGTTTGTTGATACACCATCTATGGCTTTTTTCAATATATTCATGTGGTAAACAGTGTTTGCAATTGAAGAACCGTATGACCAATGATTAAATATCACATATAATGTCGAGTCGATTGACCAATGGAGAGTTGTCAAATGGTATTGCATCTATGCACAACGTGAATTCCCGAACACTTTTTGTATTTGTTAAAAAAAAGAGAGCAATGTCACTGGCATTTAACAATTGGAGTAGAGTTCAGATATAAATTATTTGCAACCTTCCTTTTCAAATGGTCAGTTCATTGTTTTAATTTATCATCGGCATTTTGTATTCAAATTAAAAAAAAATGTGCACTTTGCTCAGGATATTCTTCAAAAATTGATTTATATTTATTTATATTCTAATATGTTCTTTTGTTAAAAAACAAGCAACTTGTGACTTGCCACTGTGCCACTTGCCACTGTGCCACTTGCCACTGTGCCACTTGCCACTTGCCACTTGCCACTTCTTACCCGACTTGCCGCGACCTGAGGCTGAGGGCTGAATTGCCAGTGTTCAGTTTAAATATATAAAAACCAAAACAAACCCCTATTTTCACGCGTGTGGTTTTATCAACTCCCGAGTCCGTAAATATATATTTAAATACCATGTTTGGTTCATTGCTGATGGCTTGAGGTATGGCCGTATAGGTGAAACGTTTGTGGGGATTTGTGTCGATTATGATCACCTGATGTGTTAATACCACTGTGACGCTTGTAAGTATTTGCATTTTCACGTTATGAGTGTGTAAAAATGTCAATATATATGCAGATTGATCCATGTAGTGATGGGTAAAAGTCAGCGTGCATAAGAATTGTTTTCCGGCATGTCACGTTATGAGTGCGTAAAAATGTCAATATATAAGCAGATTGATCCATGTAGCGTGCATAATAATAATTTTCCGGCATGTCATGCGCGTCATGCACATCGAATGCGTCATCAGTCACGGAAGGATTTGTAAGTGACAGGTACGTAGTTGCGACAAAAGAACTATTTATATGCGTTGTTTTAAGTACAGCCAGAGAGACGGTGGCTGGTCATAACTTACAAGAGGGACCGTCTTGTAAAGAGTATCAAGGTGGCAAACATACGCGCAATGTGTACAAGTTACAGGACAACAACTAACAGGGTGATGGCTGTGAAACAAGAAATGATGTATTTGCCTGCGTTGATATAAGCATATTATTGTGTACGATAGCATTTCTAGATAGGCAACTTACCATACGATTTTATTTTGCGCAGATAGAAGCCAAAATATGTACTATCAGGTGAAGTATTCACGTAGTAGTAACATTTCGAGTCTTTTGAATTGTTTGAGTGCTCTTAGCATACCATATGTGAGGTATAAGGAGATCGACTTCAGAAGTTTGGCAGTGTCGTATGTTTTTTATGTGTTTGTTGATGAGTTGACACGTCTGTGCTTCTTGAAGCTAAACCTTGCTAATTATAAATTTATGTATTCTATAAATATACATACCTACATATAAATAAGTAT